AGGGGGGGTGGGGGCGTGGCCAAGGTGATAGGATGGGGACGTGGGAGGGGCCTGGGAGAATTTGGCTGGTTTAGGAAGAGGAGGGCGGGGCCGCAGGAGGAAAGACCTGGTGACGAGAGGGGGAGTCTGGGGAGAGGTGTGTGGAAGGCCTGACTGATAGCTGGTGGGGATGGAGTGCGGCCTGAAGCGGATGGCCCAGTGGAGCTGAGGGGAGGGTCCAGTTGAGGCGGGAATGGAGGGCGAGTCTGCGGAATGGGGAAGGAGCGGGGCCTGAGGCAGTGGGTGGGGCTGGGTGGGGACACAAGGAAATGGACAAAGACAGCGGAAGGAGGAGGGGCCTAAGGAGATGGGGCGGGGCCTGGAGAGGCGGGACTGGGGGGAAGGGTGGAGCTCGTGGGTAGGAGGTAGAACCTAGGGAAGTAGATCTAAGGGAGATGTAGGTGACGCTTTGGGAAAAGGCCGAGTAGGAATATAGGGGCCTGAGGAGGTGGCATCAGGTCCTGGGGAAACAGAGCTGGGATTTGAGAAGGCGGGATAGGGCCTGGGGGAGGTGGGCTGAATACCCGCGTACCCGTAGACACACAGACACAACCAACTCACACACTGGCACGTACAGACATACAAAGTCACAGACACGCGAGCTGAAACACAGGGCTGCTTCATGCCCAGATACCCGGCCACCCCCTTACACAGATGCCCGAGTCTCGCCCGTGTGTGCCTGCAGCCTCACCTCCCCCACCCGCCTGCCTGGGAGGCAGCGGGCGCCTCCTCCCTTTGCCGGTTCCCTGCCGCCCCCGCAGGCCCGTCTGTCTCCGTCCTCCGGCCGCCCACGCTCCTCCCACCAAGCAGAGCCCCCACCGCGCTCCCCTTCCCCCTCCTCCCCCCAGCCTCTGTGCCTCGGCCTCCGCGCAGCTTCTCACTGCTCTCGCTGTCTCTCCATCTCGCCTTCGCGCCTCTCACCCCCGGCGGCCCCCCTCCGGGCCTCCGTTAGTCTCTAGATCTCTGTCCCCAGTATCTAGCCCTCTAACTGGGTTATAGGTCAGTCACGGACTCTCCATACCTTTCCATCTCGCTCTCTGTCTGGCTCGGGTTGAGCACTCGGTTTGGGGGGCTGAGGGCGCTCCCCGGCGCCCCATCTCTCACACCTAAAAGGGAGAATGGCGAGAGCTGACTTCCTGCTCGTCGGGTCCTTCCTGTAGCCTGCTGCTGCTGCTGCTGCTGCGACCCCACAGGCCTCTCCTCCCCCACACGGCTTCCCCAAGCTGGGATACCCTCTGTCCCCCGCCCCCGCCCAAGCTTCCAGCTGTGGCTTGAGGAGACGGAGAACAGGAGGCTAATTAGCGTTTAGGGAAACACATCCTTCCTCTGACGGGCAGGCGCTAATTAGAGATCCTTGGAAGCAGCAGGGCTGGAAGGGCGGCCCCAGGCAGGATCAACACAGAGATAGAGGCGCCCAGAGATGGGGCGGTGGGGAGAGAATGCAAGCAGAGAGAGAGAGAGAGAGAGAGAGAGGCACCCCAAAACAGAGGAGACCTGGAGAAAGAGATAGAGAGGGAGAGACAAAGCCAGAGAGAAACAGAGACAGAAAGAGAGCGAGCGTGAGAAAGATAGAAACTTAGAGACAGAGCCGAAGGGAAAAGGGGAAACAGACACAGAGAGAAAGAGAGAGGGAGAGAGACAGGAACTGGGAGGGAGGAAGACGGAAAGGGAGATAGAGGCAGGGGAGATAAAGACACGCAGTGGGACTCCGGGAAGGCGAGGTCCTTGTGATGCTACAGAGAGAAAAGAGAGTTTGGGTCAGCGAGAGACGAAGGGAGACAGAATGAGGAAGAGATGGGGTCCGAGATCAGAGGCCTCCGGGAGCAGAGTTTCCAGGAAGCTCAGAAGACAGGCAAGAAGGGCACAGAGTGTCAGCTTGGGGAGGAAGGCCACCTCCTTCGATCTCGGGAAGTCCTCCCCTTGTCTAGCTCGAGTTCCTCTCGCTGTCCCCTGCCGGTTGGGTTTCTCCTTCTTCTGGGTCTCCTAAGGGCATGCCTGTCACTAGGTGTCAGTCACTGCGTGGCAGTGGATCACGGCGCGTCTGCGAGAGAGGGAGCGTCGGAGGTGTGTGTGTATCACCCTGTCAACATGTCATGGTGTTGGGAGCCGTCTGTGTGTATCAGGAGACCCCGCTTCTCGCCGCGGTGTTTCAGCACCGCGGACAGCGCCCCGGCCCACTCCGGAGATGGGGGGTGGGCCATTCCTTCTCACCCACGAAAAAAAATTTAAATATCCTTAGAGCGGGAGCAGGTGAGGGTGGAGACAGGCATGTCGTTACACAGCCGTCTCGTGTGCATCTGTCTCCGCATGGGTGTCACTCTGTCCTGCGCATTCGTGCGTCGAGATGGGTCTGTTGAGGGACTACGGTCGAGACCCTTTTGCTTGAATTGTGCTGACTTTGCTATTCTGTTTTATGGACGCCGAGAGACCAACATGGAGAAGAACAGGTAAAGACAGGCAGAGTGCCGGTGAGAGACAGAGTAGTAGACAGACAGAGTCACAGATGGAGAGACAGAGCCCCAGAGGCTGAAGAAGACGGGGCAGAGAGACAGAGGAAGATTGAAAGAGAGACCTAGACGCAGAGAGAGAGAGAGAGAGAGAGAGAGAGAGAGACTGAAGGGAATAAACAGACACCAAGAGGGATAAAGAGCGAGATATACAGAAGGAGAGTCTACACAGTGCTACCCTGAGTGTCTGCGGGTCGAGCATGTCGCCGAGGCTGCGGTGGGGGCG